TAAAAAAAAAAAAAAAAAAAACTATCCATAGTTGTAGCGAGGCAAGAACCTTCATAGCCTATTGATGCAGAGACGGGCTCGCTTTTCCTCACGTGATTATCACAGTCACAGCGGTTAGCGTTCACGTGTTACTTACCTCTTCCGTTTTCCTTTTAAGGACAGCCTGCTGTTTCATGTGAATTGACTCCAATTTCTTAAACTCAAACTGCCTTTTGCGACCCTGTGGAAAGCGCACCCGTTAGAAAGCGAAAAGTGTATTACTGTATATTTTGTCTTTGTGAGAGTTACATTAAAACGTTTCCCGCCCTTGCTGCTTGCTACTACTGATTATTGTTGAGACAAAGATTTTTCATTTAGTTGTGACTGTCAACAACTGACAGATACAGGGAACGAGCTTACTGCTATGCAATTTAACCGCTGACCTGTTGCTTTAGTGTGTTGATTTCTTTTTCTTTCTGAGCCTTCAGTGCTCTAAAGCGTTCAGACTCCTCCTTCATTTGGCGCATGAGTTTTACACGAATGGATTTCATGCCCTGCAAGGTGAATAAAGGAGAGCTGTTGACCTACTGCGAAAATGAAAAGATTAGCAGATTTTCTCATCACTAAGAGACTGTTTACGGGGATGGGGGAGGAGGGGGTGGGGTAGGTGCTCCGGCTAACCAAGTTACCCTGGGAGAGCCAACTTTTCATCCTTTCCTTTAGAAAATGTATTGAAGCGTTTACATGTTAGAAAGGATAACCCGCCTTCCCGGGGCACACTGTCTGCTTGCCCGAGGCACCCTTCTATGAGGCCTATCTTTTTACCATGTAAACTGTTCGACCTGGGTTACCCGGCTAACCGAGGTGAGAAGACCGTGAAAGCAGCGTTATATTCCATGGCAGCTTTTAACTTAAACTGATTCTGGTGACTACGCTCAATTAGTAGAGTGCACAATAATAGTCCAGGACTCTGAAAGTCGGCCGCCAGCTGAACGAGTGCCAAAAAAATTAAACTTGCTACAAAACGTTTGTTTTGTCCGCCATCTTGTTTGTTTTGCTTAGCGACCGCTCAAAGGATAGCCCACTGCCTATCCCGCTTAAGTGAGTTGCATGTAAAGGCGGGCTATGTTTAAACCCTTTTAGCCGGGTAGCCCGGTTAGCCGGGGCACCCTGCCTCCACGTAAACGGGACTAAAGGTGCTTTCCTTTGGTATGATCCGGAGTAGGATTTACGATTTCCAATATCACTTGGATCATGGCGTACCCAATGAACCGATGTTTGGGGTATGACTCAACTTTGTACATGGATTTAATGACTTTCATTGATGCACCATGATCAGAGGGATCCTGGATCATAAATCTTAAAGGAGCTCAGTCACGGTATTTTGAGTTATTTTGGCCACATACAAAATTACCTTAAAATGGTAGGACACCTGAAAATAACAGTTTAATAAGATAAATAAACACCAAAGAGATAATGATAAACCATAAAGGAACAAGGATGACTAAAGATGGAGAAGATTAACACGGATTACAAACGACGAATTGGAAAAATTGCGGCTAAACTTTTCAATATGCGCAAACCGGGACTGAGCTCCTTTAATCCGGATAATCGCAATGGGAGGCACCCAACGATGAAGTCAAATCCTCCGCAATCTCCAGGTTGACTCGATCTTCTTTTCAAAGAGCATCCATGTAGCCATGAAATGATTTAGAAGGACAGGAAGGAGGTCGAGACAAAGAGATAAAAACTCTCTTTCGTTACCTGAATTTCAGAGTTGAGTTTCTTTATGGTGCTGTCGCTCTGTTCCTTCAACTTCAACATTTTCTGTTGTTCAACCTGGCAATACATAAAAATACCTTTACACTTTACCCATCCTCTTTTCTGTTCTCGGACACACCACAGACTTAAGTTAGGCCAGCTACGTGTTCTTCTGTACTTCTCAAACTCATTAACAATTCATCAAGTTTCATCAAAGGAAATGGGTATCAGATCTCAATTAGCATAGATCTTGACGATTTCATTTCTCCGTTTTCTCCTTAGTTTAAGTTCTGATCGAGAAGATATATCAAACACTCAAGACGGTGTATGACTACATTTCCAAACACCTCGAAGTTCGTCAAGAATACTCTACTACGCATCTGATCGTATTCTAAACTGTCTTCTCGCCGTTTGGAAATGTGGTCAAACACGCTCTTTCAGGTTTGATATAGTACTTGACCTCTCCGAGGTATGCATTTGAACTAGTTAGTCGTTTGTTACCTTTATGCTTGTGGTTGCAGTCGAAAATTTTGGTCAATCTTTCTCGGTTCCCAAAATCTTCGACAATTTCAATAGAAGTTACAACAGACGCATGGCTTCAATATACTCTATTACGACAATTTTCAACAGTATCAACCATGTGATCGATTACTGAGAACAAAAAATTCAAATCCCAACTGAACACCGTACTAACCTGCTTCTTCTTCAGTTCCAAAATTTTTGCCTCTAGTTCCTTGACCCTGCTTCTATTCTTTTCCTTGATTTTCCTAAAAAAAAAAAAAAATCGCGAACATATTAGAAGCTTAAACTCGCAATAAATAGTTTCATTTTTTTTTACCACGTTTCNCAATTCATCAAGTTTCATCAAAGGAAATGGGTATCAGATCTCAATTAGCATAGATCTTGACGATTTCATTTCTCCGTTTTCTCCTTAGTTTAAGTTCTGATCGAGAAGATATATCAAACAGTCAAGACGGTGTATGACTACATTTTCAAACACCTCGAAGTTCGTCAAGAATACTCTACTACGCATCTGATCGTATTCTAAACTGTCTTCTCGCCATTTGGAAATGTGGTCAAACACGCTCTTTCAGGTTTGATATAGTACTTGATCTCTCAGAGGTATGCATTTGAACTAGTTAGTCGTTTGTTACCTTTATGCTTGTAGTTGCAGTCCAAAATTTTGGTCAATCTTTCTCGGTTCCCAAAATCTTCGACAATTTCATTAGAAGTTACAACACACGCATGGCTTCAATATACTCTATTACGACAATTTTCAACAGTATCAACCATGTGATCGATTACTGAGAACAAAAAATTCAAAGCCCAACTGAACACCGTACTAACCTGCTTCTTCTTCAGTTCCAAAATTTTTGCCTCTAGTTCCTTGACCCTGCTTCTATTCTTTTCCTTGATTTTCCTAAAAAAAAAAAAAAATCGCGAACATATTAGAAGCTTAAACTCGCAATAAATAGTTTCATTTTTTTTTACCACGTTTCTAAGACCTCCACCCCTCCCCGCCCTCAATTTAGTATATGCCAGGGATTGCCAGATCCCAGCGAATACTAGCTGGGACAATTACCTTACGCTAAAGACAGTTATGCATGGCACAAATTCTCCAAAAGTAACTTTTTTCCCCACTTTTGCCGTTTTTTTTTTTGTTTTTTTGTTACCCACAAACTGAGAGCGTTGAAATTTCAACGGGGTTTTCGTTTTGTTCATCTGGTAACTTGGCTCAATAAGAAAAGGATAAACTGATCTTAAAACCGAAAAGTACAAATGAGGACAGTTTCGTGCTGAACAAACAAACGAATAGGAGCTTTCCGATAACGAAATTATGGAGTGAGGTGCCGGGGCATAGAGGAAAAGAAAAGAGAAAAGGGGCAGACCAAGCCTTGTGCACAATTCCTAGGTGGGCAGAAACTAATACGAACCATTCAAACTGATTTAACTAGTGCGCGTAATACCTACTGCTTATTACGCACGCAATCGGAGTTCAGACTCACCCGTCACAGTTCTCAGACTTTGCATTGGTCAAAGCCACCGATAGATTGGCCTTCTCTTTCTCCAATCTGGAAATTTCACCTTCCAATTCCCGAACAGTATCCTGTGCAAAATGCAATGCGTCAATAAACACTAATATTGCACCTAATGGACGGTTTAACAGTTAATACGCTCGGATATTTTATGAGTTTTGCAGTATAATTCGGAACCTAGTGCAAAAACGAAAAAAAAAAACAAATGAGAATTTGAAAGCAGCTAGCTGTCCACGTAAACCAAAACTCAAATAGTGTTTTCATCCCGTTACTTAAATACTCGCACGCGTCATTTTCCACGTGCGACATAATAAGTCTGTCAGTTTAAAAATGGAAGTAAACTTGGTTTGTGAAAAGCTTTAAAGTCCTCGAGGAAATGATAAACGTGTACATTTTCAAGAATATATGTTTGTGCGGTCTGCCACTTGTCGATCAATTTGAGTTACAGTAGGGTTCAATTCCGGTGCAGAGTATAAACCATTTTAAAACTTTCACCAACCTCGTATTGCTTTCTCATGCTAGTCAGCCGCGAATCATTTGCTACCATCTTATTGGCTAATTCCTCTTTTAGAGCCAGTGCCTTGGTCAATTCCTGGAGTTGCCGGCCAAGCTCTGCCTGCCTCAAAGCATGCTGGGAAACAAACGAGGCATCTGATGGAGAGCTGGGGTGAGAGCTGTCGTCACACTCATCCGGGTGTTCCGAGCCTGCACTGGTATTCTGGGAACAAGGAAAACATAGCATTTCAAGGCTCGTAGTTTTAGTGACAATGGCTACGACGTTTTTCCCGCTAAAACTGCGCGCGCGACTGCGATCGCTCGTGTTAGTGAAGTGAAATCAGTCGAAATCGGATCTAAGGCTTTTGTTGGCTCTAAAAGGAAAGCATCGTGTTTTTAGTATACCGTTGAAACAACGAATAAAGACATTTGCGATGCGTTCTTCCGAGCAAAGCTCATTACTGTACAGCAAATGAAAACAAAAGAAATTAAAAGGGTTAACATAATTCTTTCAAGAAAAGAACGCAGAAACACTTATTTTTCAGTAAGCAACTTTGCTGACAAATGTTCAAAAGGTGTCTATAAACAGGGGAAGGTTGGAGTCAGTGGCCGAAACACCTTGAAATTCCTGTCATTTATTGGAGGCAAAGTATCAGTTTGGAAAAGCCAAAGGGTGCGTTTACTGACCTGCTCTTCATTCTTAACTGCATCCTCTAGCTGCGTGGAAGAGTTGAAAGTGTCCTGAAAGCCAAAGACAAGACCTGTTCGTTAGAAACGGCCAAAATAATTTTAATAATATTGCATTGGTGCAAGGGTCAACCGCTCGCATTGTCATCTAACGGGACAGATCTGGGTAGCCTCCCATATTAGCAGCTGCTGAGCTCTGTTTTGGGCAGAAGAAATCCTTTGTGTTCTGCCCAATCGGTTGGCAGCTGTTCTGGCAACTTGTTCACAGTACCGGGTACGTTTTGTGTGTACTAATACGAAGTCTACACAAAAGTTAATTCTAGTTTCTCTGCCGCTTCGACTTTCTCTCGCTCCACCCTAACCGAATCCTGATAACTGTAGTCAAGAGATTATCTCTTGCTGTAGTCTAGTTCTTGTCCTCTATCTGTCAGGCAACACTCGAACTGAACTAAGACAACTCATGAGAGGAGAATAATTGAGCGCTGGAACAGAAACACTTGCAACCAACTTTTAGGCTTGATTGCCTGCCGTTGTTCAGGAAAGGAGTCCGCACTCCTCCACCGAAGGCAGAGGAACGTATTAGGGAGGTCTGAGTATCCCATATCCCGTAAACTTTTGGCCTAAATATCCCGCATCCCGTTAAATTAACAATTTTATCTTCTCTTATTGTGCATACATTTTTACTTTGTTATTTTGTTTTCTTTTTCTTTTGTTTTGTTTTTTTTATTAATTGCTTCTTACAGTGCTTACAATACAGTATTAATGAAGTTACTTACACTACTTATGATACTAACACTTACACTACTTATATTACTTACAATACAATACGCATACTCACGCTATTAACAATACCAATACTTACACTGCTTACGATACAACATAATTAGATTACTTGCGCTACTTACAATTCTAGCAAAGCAAAATCGTACCAGTTTACTCCTGTCAGCAATTTAAATTCGAAATTGCGAATTAAAGAAAATATACGTGGTATTTTTTGTTTTCTTGGCGCACCTGTGAACTAGCTGGTGCGTCCTGTAGACTCTGCTTATCAAGTCTATAGGACGCAACGTTACCATAGCTAAGTGTGTTGTCCAAGTAAAATAAACTGTCTATGTCTATGTCTATCTAAGTATCCCCGCCTATGCCATTGATTTCCCCCCCAAATATCCTTTATCCCGTTAATTTTTTACCAAAATACCCCTTATCTCGAAAACCCCATATAGGGTCTCTGGACTCGAGAGACTGCGGCGGAAATCGAGCCTTAACTAACTTCAAAGTGGACTAAACAAAAATGGTAGTTGTTCCCCTGACGAAAACAATTCGTTACCCGAGAATAACACGGTGTTATCGTGCAGTGCTTGCAAAAAAACAAACAAAACAAAACAAAAAAACAAGTATCTTACCTCAAGCTCATGCAGTTTCGTTTGTAGTTCTTCCACAAGGCTTACATTTGGTTCAACTTCGTCTTTTGTGTCCGTAACCTTTACATCAACTTTGGAACTAAACGGAAATGTTGTAGTAAGACAACTAACGAGTTCCGCACAAGGCTGTTTTTACATTCAAAGGATAGGGATTTTTTTTTTGCTGTTGTTTTTGCCCAATAGAAAACAAAGTTGCCTTACCTAAAATGACTCTTCAGTTCATTAAACTTTCGAAACACTTTATCTCTTGCTAATTCAGCCTGTAAAAGATTTGTATACAGTATTAGACACCAGGAAACAAAGCACTTGACAGACAAATAAGCAAAGAGAGCAATTTTCGCTCAGTTTTGCACGCCACGCAAGGAAGAGATTGGCATGTTTCAGATAAAATCAAAGAGCAGTTTCAATGGACTACTTACCACTAAAACTTTTTCATACATCTGCGTGTTCTGATCGACTGAAGCGTGCAGCTCGGCGCTAAGTTTTTCATTTTCTGACTAAAAATAACCAAGGAAACAAAAAATAATCAAAAGAGCATAGCGTTCTCCTAACCAGTGTTCCAACGCGCAGACCGCGCTCGTGATTTCACGGGACAAAAACAAGTTGTACTACTGCTTTTGTTAACTCTTAATTTAGTCTTGAAGAGTTTGTCTAAATTTTGAAACAACTCTATCTGCCTGGGTAAAGAGACGGGAAATAGCTGATAGTCATGTCATTGACGGCAATATTGCCGAGAACGAAAGTTTATTGAGCTTGTTACACGATGGAATGTGGCTGAAGTAGAACGTGATTCTGCCTCTGCAACACGGGGCGCAATAATCACCGCGGATGTGCGTTCATATACGTGACATGTACGGCAAACTTACCTCCAGTTCTGTGATTCTATCCGCCAGTTCTTGGATGTTAGCGGCTGTACTTTCGTGACTAAAGAAAAGATAAATTCATCAATACCTCGCATAATAAACATTGCGCTTTGAGAGGAGAACAGAAGCATATCACCTAGGTGATATACTTCTGGAATTTATATCAAAAAGTCGTGTTGAATTTCAACCCAAAAGTTGCTCGGTCTCAATGTTTAATCATAGTTAACTATGGTTTAACGTACCTTGTACCAGTTGGATTCGTTCCTGTAATCGTTTGTCCTTGAATAAGCTGCATTTGTAGTAGCTGGACCTACGATATACACAAAAGGTAAAACAGCATACAAAAGGCAACATAACAGGAAATTTAATAACAGTTGTAGTTACTGTAAAGTATTAAAACAATATTAAACTACCGAAATTCGCCAATTAGCCAATCAGAAGCCGTGTCTACTGTCCTGATATCCAGCGATATCAAGACACTGACCTGATATGGCTATGATATCATGCTCTCTTGGCCGAATTTGGGTACGGTTAATACCTAATCATACCTCGAAAATCAGGCTCGTTTGGTCTCGCCATGGGTATTTTGGCTCGACTGCGTCTTGCCAAAATACGAACCATGGCGAGACCAAACTCACCTGATATGCCGCCGAAGCGTACCAGAGAGGTACGATTAGGTCAGTATTTATTAATAATATTCACTTTTATTTAAGGGCGCTTTCCATTCAACCAAATTTCACGAAATATCCACTGTAACAGACTGGAGAACGTTTCCAGAATTTCCGAGAAAGAGAACAACCTTGCGAGGTATACCCGAAAAGTTCGAAAATTTCTTCTCAGAAATTTCTGTTTCATTTGATTAATTGCTGTACGCATTTTGGAAACTCAACGGTTTTCAAATTTTCTGGAAACTTTCCCAGGAAATTTCTGAAATCATTCAGTCGCGGTCGAAAATTTCTGGAATGTTCGATTGAATGGAAAGCGTGCTAGTATTAGTTGTTGCTCGACTGTAGCAACCAATCAGATTTCCTCCATAAAGTTACGCACGTCGCAGACCCTCGGGAATGGAAAAAGCGCGCAAAAGATAAATGTTCAAATCAGCCCCTCAGGGTATCCACCAGGCTATAAAAGGAGTGACATACTTGTTGTCTGAGCCGAGCCAGTTCAGCCGCAGCAGGATCAAGATTAACAATCGGCTTGTTCTTGATCTGCCTCGCCCGGTCCGCGTATCTGAGAGTGTTTAAAGTCTCTTCGAAATTACTGTCCGCTGGACTGACACAGGCGATCATCATTGTGTTACTGTTACCTCCAAGGGAATCTGTGAAAAAGAATGGAAGAATATAATGTGAGGATGTGCATCTGATAGGCCTGTAGGAGGCGCAATGGTGTAAACAATGGTTGGGGTGTTAGATATTAGATTGAGCCGTATGGGTCACAGTCATTCCGTCGTGTTCTTTGTCTCTTGGGCAAGGAACTTATAATTTGATTTTCTCGCAGAGGGCCTCGTTAGGTTGCCAGATATTATACATGTACGTCATGAACCCTTTTCCCTGTTTCATAACCTGCTTTGGCGGATGAAATTTGTTGCAGATAGAAAACACACTGAGTTGCTGTACGATTTTCTGTGGAAAGGAAGCTGAATGTTTGTGTGACATGGTTGCGTGACATTCACCTTGAAGAAGGCGTGTCAACTTGGAGTCACGGTACGGGACATGAGCATTGGATTTCCTGAGCTCGTCACTGAGAGCGCTGATCACATTTCCTAGAGCCAGGAGACCTTTGTTGATATTAACACCTGTGGAATTAAATGGAAAGAGATAAATTCATTGATTTTAATTCACTGTGCCACAGTGAAATGTATTGTGACTCTTACGGTCAAACACCTGTAAACAAACCTACAAAGCGGTTTCATATTGACATTTGATTCATTAGTCTTTCCGGTAGGCCTAATCTCCACCACCCTTTCTGGTCGAGTTCAGGGGCAGGGGGAGGGGAGAGTGCAGGTTCACTTTACCGAACAGCGGCTGGTAGTCGAGCTTAGGCTTCTGGTCAAGCAGTATGTTGCACTCTTTACTTCTGGCAAGGAATCAAAACTTTAACCTAATGTTCAATGCATGTTAAGGAACGTGGAAATGATTATACCTTCCTTGAAACGTTCTCCTTGAGCATGGGTCTTTTTAACCCTTTCTGATCCAGCAAGGTCTACCAGATGGAATTTGGCCTTTTTAAGTTCACTCCTGAAGAAGAAAGAATACAGAGTTTCTGTGCATTCATTGCTCTGTCTACAAAACATATCAGAGTTGTTACATTGACTGTATTTGTAACACACAAATATTACATTGTACATACTCATATTTTTTTCCTGGTGACAAATGATATTGCTAATCACATCTTTGTCTTCTTAACATGTAGAACAAGTTTTACTTGGCACCCAACATGGCAAAAAAATATATTTAGGCCTGAAGGACCTTGGCTCAGCAAAGTCAGAGGGCGAGGTGAACTTAAATTTTGACTGGGTCTGCAGCTTTTCACTAACATAGGTCCTTATCTTTCATATGCCAGTATAGATCGGCCACCAGTGTTTTGGTTTACGAGTTTAGAATGTAACAAAATTGGAACTAGCTCAATAAAATTGAGTAAATTTGTTTGTCAATTCTTACCCCTTTAGCTCTTTCTGTTCTAGTGTTATTGTAAATATGGCATGAGAACGGCTTGATCTGCTATTCATGGCAGTGGCTCCTGTTGCTCTGGAAGCTGACCCCTGCTCCAAGCATCGCACCATATCTGCCCCAGATGTTACAGCAACCTCCTGTAAACCAGCAATCTGTAAAAACAGTTTTTGATGTGCANAAAAATTTAACAGGGGTGGCACCATCTTGCGTTTTGTTTATATACCAGTGCTGAAATAATTTATTGCTTTCACCCAGTGTAGCAAGTCTCGCCAGTTTTACTTTGAATAGAATGAAAGTGTAAGCAGTTAAACTCTTATTTTCTAATGTACATCAATATAAGCTTAATGCATGTTACGCTCTAGCTGACTGTGTCGGAGATTCATTTTATGCATTAATACTCCATACCTCTAAAAATGACGCTTTCAAAAGGAACTCGGTTTTGTCCTTCCTCTCATCAATCCAGTCAAACACAGTTTTGATAAGCCGTGGAATCACTCCTCTTTCTTCTGAAGTCTCGTTACACATGGTGAAAGCTGTTCCCATTGAGTACGTTTTTCCCGATCCGGTTTGGCCATATGCTAGAACTGTGGCATTGTAGCCCTTAAAAAATCCTTCCAGCAACGGGATCACAGTTTCACTGTAAAGATCTTCCTGTCTGCTTGAACTACCGAACACATAATCGTACGTGAAAGCTTTGTCGTCTCCGATAATGACTTGAGCATTCCCTGGAACACAGCGGATACATTCTTTACATCCATCGCCGGTTTCTTTTGGAACTAGCGGTCTGATTCTCAACGCAACACGAACCGGGATGGTCTTTTCCTTTTCCTCTGGCATGATGTTTTTTATCGATCAGAACAGAGGGGAAGAAAACTCAAGATTCGGACGGCGAAACTTTAGTATAAATATTTTGATCGCTTGAAATAACCGCCAAATTCCATTACTACCCAGAATTCAATGAGCGCTAAACAAGCCAGCGGTTGTTCCCTTTAGGACCCAGTTCCACCGCGGCTTTACCTAACGGATGACAAAAGATGATCAACAATTGACGTTGGTAGAGCTATCGCTGTACAATACTGATTTCCGTTGCAATAATAAGGTACTTTAGCGTTCTCCTTTTATGCATGGCTTTCAAAAGTGTTTTTCTGTATAATTTTGTTGCTGTAAAATGTTCAGATTACGTTTGTCACAGGTTATATTCGTAACTTTCGAATTGCCCTTATACGTGATAAAATGCGTGATCTTACCTTGATTTCGTTTGCACCGATGAAATTTAAGTTTTCGTTAATAGACCGAGTTAGCCTGGCATGTTTTCAAGAATATGATTCTTATCGTCATACAAAGTCTTATGTTAGGGAGAGCCGGACGGTGGGGGCTGCTTTATGAAAACATACTTTCTCTCAATCTCTTCGCAGAATAACGAGGGTAGCAAAGGTGAAGGAGGGGGCGGGGATGGTGATCCCCTTTCAAGTTCGAATTTTAACAACCACTGATTAACAACGGTTTTTCACCGATATATTCACGTATCACACATGTCTTTTAGTTACTTTTCACCTGTCACACAATTTTTTCCCCTCATTATATGTCAGATGAAAAACATACACAATCAGACATACATTTGTAAATGTGCTGCTCAAATGCCAATAATGCTTACAACTGGGCTCAGTACTTGTGTGCTGGTATACAAGAAGCGATAAAATAGTCATCAGCAAAACAAACCAATGACTCTTAAACAAAGGAAATACAATAGTTATTCCTTCCTGTACTGGTACATTATGGCAACAAATACCTACAGTTATATTAAGTATTAATTTTTTCAGCAGGCCTAAAGTAATCTCTGGGTGATCTCACTCAGCAGATGGAAAGTAAGACCATAAAGCAAACTCCCTCAGTTGAATCTCCTGTGTTCCCTTCAGCTCATCACATGCCTTCGTCTGGTGGTCAGCCTCCTGTATCTGTTAGGAGACCCCCATCCTCTGGCCCTCCTCCTATTCCGTCTAGAGTAGATCTTGGCGAGGCACCAGTGGATGCCGCCAGCTCCATTAAAAAGCCAAGCAGAGATGACTTACCAAGTAAAGGATCTCCAAAACTCAGGTATGAAGGAGTTATTATTNTAATAATAATAATAATAATAATAATAATAATATATACTCATTATAGGCAGGCCTATTCAAATAAGTGGCCTTGTTCTAATAAGCTCCACAATTTTAACCAAGATGAGAATGATTTATTTACTACTAGCAGTAGAACCAATTCATGGACACTTGCCATCCTCTCTGTAAGTCTTGTAACACTTTGTTATGGTACTGTGCACTCTAGGTACTGAATATGCTTCTATGAAAGCTGAAGCTGAGTGCTGACCTTAAGGCCTACACTTAAACCTGTGAACAGGTTTTCTTGTGAGGTATAGGGCAACAAACTCCTAATGAGTTTCCCTTATGGTTGCTTTTGTTGTTTTTTTACTTATTCTTGTTGTGGATCTCCTCATTGTGAATCTTCAGGTGCATTTTGTAAGCAGCTTTTATGGTGAAAAGCCTTGAAAATTTTAAATTTTAAAAAATGCTAATGCAGTCTGGGGAGGAAGATCTCATGAAGACTTGTTTAAACGCACTTGGCTTTGGTCTGTTTTTTTTTTTCCTCTTAACTTACCTCCTATACTTCTCTAGTTAGCCTTACTTTGATGATGGAAGCAGACTTTTCCTTGTACCTACTAACAATATTTTAAAAATTTCATTCAGGCCCAAAGGGAGACCTGAAATTACCATTGTGTCAGCAAGACCGATGGATTCCGCAGGTGTTATACCTCCTCCGTCAGTCACCAGTCCACCAGCAACCGAGATACCCAAAGTCCCGCAAAAGCCAGGCCGAAAACCAAAGGGCCGTGAACCGCCACCTAGACCTAAGAGCCGTCCAGTGAGTGAACTCACACTGGGAACAGATGAACAAGATGAGGGGTCAGTGGCTAGAGAAGGAGAAAGAGTTGAAGGAGAGTTAGAAGGGAACACAAGAGAATCCAAGGTGCTCAAGGCACCTATTGTTCCACCAGTTGGGTCACCAACTGTTCCACTCCGTAAGGTGCCAGCAATCAAATCTAAGACTAGTGACGTTTCTGGAGAGAATTCCAACCTGGGTGTGGACGATAAATCGGAGTTGTCTCGCAAACCAGAGATGGTGAAAGACGATCACGCTGTAAAGAAGCCTGCTGCGGCAAAGCCAACCGTTGTCAGAGCAAAACCTAAAGAAAGCACAGAAAATGACTCAAAACCGTCTGGTGAGGTTGGAGGGGTGAAAGAAACGAAGTTGGACAGCAATTCTGTTGCAGCTGAAGGTGCAACTACAGCGGGAAAGAGGATTAAACCCACAGTAATTATCGCTGCTCCTAAACCTGCCAAGAAGAAGGAACCAGAAACAGAGGCGCCAAAAGGAAAGGATGAAGGAAGGGAGCCCAGCAATGAACAACCAACAGCTGTTACAGGAGGAAAGCCCCCTCCTCCCGCCAAGAAACCCAAACCACCTGTCAAAGCAAAACCTTCAAGCGCGTTAGAAACACCCACTAAACCATCAACAGAGGAAAACAAGCCGGAGACTACAGTAGTTTCTAAACCAAGGGTGAAGCCGACTGTGATAGTGGCAGCTAAACCTTCTAAGATGAACGACGCAGCGAAGCCTGACGAGGAATCTTCCAAGAGCAAGGAAGAAAGTCAAGCTCGTTTGAAACCAACTGCGACTGCTGCACATGTGGAGGCGAAACAACAAGCGCATGACGAAGAAAAGGCAGCCGCTGCTCCATCTGTGAAACCTAAGCGCGCACCCACTGTCATAAGAGCGGCACCCCGGCCTGATGTGCAGGACACTGGCGAGGAACGGAAACCACCCAAAAGGCCGCAGAGAGGACCAAGCATAAGGGCACCTCCCCGACGACCTGTTAGTGCTCCTGCTGAGGAGAACAAGGAGCGAGAAAAACTCGCGGCGGATGGTCAAGACGAACCAGCCGCGGCTGTCTCTGGACAGGTGGGGGTGCAAGAGAAGGCACCAAGGCCGCCGAGGCCTGTGAGCATACCCGGAGTTAAAGAAAACGGAACATTGAAAGATGTAAAGAAAACCAAGGAAGCAGCATCTCCAGTAGAGGAGTCGACCGCTATGACTAGAAAAGGCTCGAAGAAAAGGCCTCCTCCACCCAGACCTCCCACGGTGGAACCTGTCGGAGAGAAAGTGGATTCGACTCCAGAGACACAAAATAAAACGGAAGACTTGAATGAAAAATCCAAAGCCAGAACCAGACCCCCTCCTCCCAGGCCTCCCGCAGTGGATAATTCAAGTGATAAAGAGGCATCGGCGCCAGAGATACTCGATAAGACCGCACCGCAAGACAGTGATGAAAAGTCAAAAAAGAAAAACAGACCTCCCAGGCCGGCCTCTAAGGTTTTAGATGATAAACCTTCCAAACACTTACACGGAGAAACAGAAGAAAGTCGCGCGCAAGAGAAACCTAAGCCGGTCAGACCTGCTCCAGTAGCTCCCAACGAATCAAGTGTCAATAACAAAAATGTACACGAAGCTGAGACGCGAACAGTGGCAGAGTCAACACGTGACGATCACGTGCAAGAAACGTCGCATGCACGTGACTCTGCACGAGAAGTAGCTCCTTCCACTGCTGAAATTCACGAAAAGGAAAAGAGTCAGAAGGCGTCATCGAAGGCCAAACCAAAACCTGCCAGACCTCCGTCTTCAACATCCTCGACAAAGAACAAACCGCATAGACCGTCAGCGCCTGTCGTCAAGTAAGTGACATTTATGCTCTGCTGTTGTTTTCAGTGGTTTTGTTGGCATCTGGGGCCGGGTTGTTCAAAGCCTGATGAAGCTAGCCCAGGATTAACGATGATTTTGATTTCTTTTTTGTAACTTTTCGGTGAAGTTTTCTGTCTATATTGTTTGTCCTTCAGCTTTAAGCTTGAGTAATCTCAAACTACACAAAACATAAGCGGCCAAAACATTTTCATACAAGAAAAATGATAAAATTTGGTTACCTTTCAATCCTGGAGTAACGTCAATCGGCTATCGAACAACCCGGCCCGGTCCATTAGTTAAAACTGGTCACGTGTTACTTCTCAACCAGAAAAATCGTCACGTGATCATTCACTCGTAGGTTGAGAAATTCTAAAATGCGTCGAGGAAGAACCGTCTCGACTCGTACTCTCAGAGGGCGTTTATTGGACAGTCTCTTGTTAACCTAAGCGGGCTCCTTTTATCCAAAATAATTTCTGGTTGTAGTTCTTAAAAAGTCCAGCGGCTGTAAATCATTTGATAGTTGGTAAGAAGTGTGCACGCATGTGTAACAGCATAGCTTGTTGTTCATCAGGGTTGCCACAGGTCACGAAATGTGAGGGGAAAAAATCTTCAAGGCTAGGGGAGTGTCAGGGAATTTCATTTTGAGTCAGGGAAAAATTGACATTAAGAAGAAAAGTCAGGGAAAATTAAAATAACGTAACACGGCTGATTTAGTACCATTGAAGGCTGGAAGAAATATTTGGGATCACTGTGATCTCACTGATGTTTCACATAAATGAAGAGGGAAAATTTGTTGAAAACATATCAGTCATAATGGATGGGTGAAAAGGACGACTGTGAGGGGAGGCTAGAAGCCGATAGTAGATCCGACATTTAGTTTTTATTTGGTCAGAGAAGTTTTACTTTTATCAGGGAAAAGTCAGGGAATTTTGAAAAGTGATGCCTGTGACAACTTAAGTACATGCTAGTGAGACGTCTCTTTCTGCAGGGATACCAAGGAGCCAGTGGAAACGACCGCTCCAACGCAAGTGCCATCAGTCTGTGAGACGTACATTGAACCCTCTGCCATTGCTCTGTATGATTATGAGCCTACTGCAATAGATGACCTGTCTTTTAAGGTAGGAGACGCTTCACATGTACTTTTAAACTTTCATGCTTTGTATTCGTAGAGGTCTTGTAAGTTTGGGGAAGGGACAGATCGAGGACTTTCGGCGTCAGAGATTTTCAACACAACTTCCAGCTTCTGCTATGATAATGACGTTTATCTGAAAATCTACAGAGTGCAATGGTAGTTTCAGAATCCGCCAGAAATTAAAAGTACTGGACAACTTGCGTGCCCAAACAGGTAAAGCACGCTGGGTTTGAATCGATCCATTTTAATGAATTAATCAGGTGGCGGGTAGATAGTTAACCTGATGGTTTGGGCGTTGCTTTCTGGGGGGTTGAGCTGTCCGGATCCGATTAAAGCTGTGAACAGGCCTAGGTACACAAGGTATAGTCAGGTGAATCAAACCCTGTTCAAGCTCATTGCTGTGTTGTCCTATATGGTAAGACACAGCTGAGCGATAACATCTGGCCACGGGTGCGAGTACAGTCAAAACCCCCGTGTAATAATCTATATTTTTGAAGTCTGGCAAAATAGGTTCTTGTATTTTGAGGTAGTTATTGGCAATTTAGGCTAAGTAGGTTCTTAATTAGGTTCTTAATTTCTATGAAAGAGATATAATTGTAGGCTCGATTTCCGCCGCTTTCTCGAGTCCGGTCTTCGTTCCTCCCAGTCGCTGTTCGGGGTAGGAGCGCGGGCTCCTTTCCCGAACAGCGGGTGGTAATGGAGCCTAATATGGTTGTTAATTACCAGAAAATAAATAAACTTGAGTTTGGTCCTTGAATATACTGTATTTATTCCGCACAACTGTATTTATGTATTTTCTTGTGATATAAATGTGCAATCTGAAATTAAGTTATATCTCTTGGTTAAAATGTTTATCATAATTTAACTGTAGCCCACATATAAGAACTTGCTTGATCTTGATTGGCTAAACAGGTTCTTATATTTTTGGATATTAAAATGGCAAATTTCTGCCAGCAGGTTCTTAATCCACTAGGTTCTTACACGCGGGTTTTTTGCTGTAATATAAATGTGTTCAGAAGTCTTCAATGTTTTCATATTATCTTAACTTTAGTAATTTGCCATTTTTGTCCGCAAACAGGCCGGAGATGAAATAGTGCTTTTGAAGAGGATAGACGATGAATGGTATATCGGTCGCCTTGGAGACCAGGAGGGAATGTTCCCGGTCAAATTTGTTGAAATCATCGAGGATCTTCCGAAAGAAAATGAGCCTGAAACCAAGGTATCGTTTAAAATGTACTTTTAAAAGTATTTATTTATAGTTAATTTACCTTCAATTAATCAAAGGTGACTTCCTCATACTCTCTACTTAGGTCCCTTACTCGTTTATTACCCGCTAGAGAATAACTGCGCTTTCGGTTCAAGAAATGCCAGAGCCCGAAGTTATTATAAGCGGGCATTCTGACAAATCAAGTGAAAAACTATGATTGGTATTCGCACGCTTGGCGTGAGGTGAATGTATGTATTTTGCTCTATTTTCCGCCATTAAGCGTAACTGCTCTACGATGGTTTTATCCTAGAGTGCAGTCACTGAAAACGTTGGCTAGCAATGCGCTAGTCATCATTTGGTTATATTTCCGTGCTAAGTTAGTTGTTCGTAGAGTTTTCACCATTCCATTTTGACATCTTATCTTTGTAACGCTTGGTTGACTTTCTGCAGCCTGTGGTAGCGCCTGAAAGTTCTCCATTTGATGTGATGTCTTTGTACGATTTCCATGGAAACGAAGAAGATGGCGAGCTTGTATTCGCTGCAGGAGAGGCTATTCACGTGATCGAAAAAATCAATGACGATTGGCTAAGAGGTGAATACCTCGGAAGGACTGGGGCCTTTCCGTGTGGTTTCGTTGACATTAGCACAGAACTCATTGATAAATTACCTCAAAGTGAACCAAGTGAGACAGTTCCCAAAACCAGTGAAGAAGAATCTAACGAACTGGAGCTTGACTTGTACTGCAAAGCGCTGTTCGACTTCATTAGTGATGTCCCGGATGATCTTAGTTTTCAAGCGGGAGATGTCATCAAAATCAAGAAGAAAATAAGCGAAGAGTGGTTTAAAGGCGAAATTAATGGACACGTGGGAATGTTTCCAGCCGCTTATGTGGAAATGGTCAAAGATATGCCACAGGAAGAGACTCAGCCAGGTAAATTACGAAATTTTTTTTTTCGCACAACCAGGTAACCGTAGCCTACGAATGCAGACGTATTTGAGGCTGTCGCTTGTCTCCGCCGAAACGTCTGCGTTCGTAGGCTAAGTAACACGTCAATTGACCATTTTCCTATTTTCGGTGTAGGACTGGGACTAGCATGTAGTGGAGGCCAGTTCCAGTCCAATACTGAGAATACGAAAAAAAAAGAAGAAAACAGTAAATATAATATATCATAGAAAATTAAAGCTACCCCGAATTTGCTAGATATTTTTCCCTGACACGTTTTCCCGAAGTTAGGTGATTGTTTTGCTTAGTTCTGGTTGGTTTAAAAACTGGCCTTTACATTCCTGAGTGGGCAGTGTAAGAATGGAGTGTCTAATCGAAGGACACAACACAATAAAAACCAGCCAGGGCTTGGTTTGGTCCGTTCGACACGGGGTCCAACGAGTTAACCATATTTCGGAGGTCCTGGGTTCAAATCCTTTTTCCTGCCANCCACCCCCACCCCTTCCTTCCGCCCCTAGTTAGTAACTATGCTGACTGAATCATTGCTGTTTATCCTTTCTTTCCTCAGACGACACAGAGCATCGCGAGATCGAGTATGGTACCGCGCTGTACGACTTTACTGGCTCAGCTATTGACGAATTGTCATTCAAGAAAGGAGACAAAATAGAAATCACAGAAAGAGTTGGCGAAGACTGGCTAAGAGGGAAACATAATGGACGGGAGGGAATGTTACCTCGAGCTTTCGTTCAGCTTTCGAAAGTGGAACTAGGTACGAGTTCGTTCATCGGAGTTCAGTCATGTATGATCGGAATAGTGGGGTCTGTTTGGACAATTATTCGGCTGGTTTTGTCTCATGTCTTGGTTCACTGTCTATCCCCGGCGGGGCCGTTATTTTAGAGATTGATGAGTGACTTTTACTCTGTCTTGTGTCCCGTCCACACTACACCGGAGAAATTTGAAAACGCAACAATCATCGCTCATTTTGGATTTGTGTTTGAGGAAAACTCGGGCCATCACATGGTTATCGTGATGTGATCGTTTTCGAAAAGTTCCGTTTTCAAAATGTTTTTCGTCCACACGAAAACGAAAAGCCGGCGTTTTCAAAATTCTCCAGTTTGAAGAGCATTTTTAAAAATCTGCGTTTTCGTGACGGATTAGTGTGGACGGTAGGCCTAACCGTAGAAATAAAGCTTGCGTTTTCAAATTTCTCCAGCGTGGGGTGGACGGGCCTCGGGTGTCACCATCCCGAAATACTGCTAGATTTTCAAAGCAGCTTGCTGTTTCTCGTTGAATATGGCAGAAACGACGTCCCCTTGTTTAAATCTTCGTTTAAAGTAACTTCAAGTCATTTTGTTTCTGTCCATGGCTGAAAAAGTGCGGTGGAAAACATTATGTCCCTCAAAATACCGCAATCACAAATTACAGACGAAAATAAATTTCCACACTTTTTGATGTCTTGTCCTCCTTCATCATTACGTGTACGATTACGTGTCCTACAACAGAGAATTAATTTTACTGATTATTGTTTCTATTCCTCTTAGAGCCTGCCTTACAATCTACGATAAAAAGTAACAATCTAACAGCGAAGGCCAAGGCTTTGTTTGACTTTGATGGAGAATATGAAGACGAGCTGTCTTTCAGGGTAAGTGTACACTGTTCAGTATGGTCCGGGATTGGTACCCGCGAGAGCCCAATGGCTAGTTCGCTGGATTGTGGGTCAAGCGGTACTGGTTCGAGCCCTGGGTGGTTTCACTGCGTTAGTGCCTCTCTTTACCGTACCCAAGTGTATAAATTGGACCGCCAGTATGAGAGCAGAGACTGAGCACGAGCACGAGTTCAGTTTTCGAATTTCAAACCAGTGGCGTTTCCAGAGCCCTCGCTCTTCATGTTTGTTGTTCTTCGAGAGTAGCTCATGGGATGAGATGGGTTTGTGACGTGGTAATGTGAAGCCTGCAAACTAGAATTGAAAATCGTTCTCGCACTCTATCTCGAGCTCGTACTCAAATCTTAAGTCCCCTAATGGTACTGGCAAATCATAAGTTGTGGTTAATCTTACGATGGACTAGCATCCCGTCTAGGGGGAGTATAAAAAGCGAGAAAAGAGAGACAACAAGCCGCCAGTACAGCGCCATGCAACTTCTAACGAGTTCAAATGCCACGCCAGTCTGTCTGCGAATTTGCTTTTCGAGAATCGGACTGCTCAGTCATCAACGAATTTGTAAACTGAACACTACCAAGTAGAAATCTTACTACGTACATATCGAGGGATTGTCAGCGACGATAGAAATACTCCTAGGTCGCTTTTTCGTTCTGAAACCGGAGATAGGCGCCGACTTGATGGGCCACTAGGCTTGACTACTTATTGCAGGCTTCACCTGATTTGAACTTGCGTTTTTAATTTTTTCCAGGCTGAAGACGTCATTGTCTTGCTGGAGCGTGTCAACGATGAGTGGTTTCAAGGAGAACTAAACAAGAAAGTCGGCCGATTTCCGGCAGCGTTTGTCGAAATTCTGACACCATTACCTTGAGCTGGGTTTGAAAGAAAGAAGTAATAAACTGTTTCTAAGGTAACCTGCGTGGTCCTATTGGCGCGAGACGACGAAATCAACAAGAAGACGGAGCCAACCTCGATCCTAGGTTCTCTCTCCTTGTCATTGAGGTAAAGGAGGGAGAGCCTGGGAACGAGGTTGGACTGGAACCCCCTCATGACTTCATCATGGCTTTCACTCCTATTTTGCCATCGCGCGGGTGAAATGGCAGCTTGGACAGGTTACTTTCAAAGAAACTATTGTTCTAGGTCGGTTGGCAAGTAAAAAAAAATACAGGCGAACGGAGTCCAATTTTTTTTCGCGCTCGGTATTTCGTCCTCACAGGTTAGAAAACAAAACTCCAGATTGTAATAACAAAATTCAACTAAGTGAGTTTGAATAACGTCGACATTAACTATAATTTTAGATATTTGTGCTCGCGTGGATCTGGCCACTAAGAATTATTTTTACAGTAGCTATATTGTTATTTTGCGTGAATAGCGTGAATCAGCCCCAGTTAGGCTAACAGGATCATTAATTTCGTTTCATACTCGGTGTGTATTTTTTAGCAATATTAAAACATGACGCTTCCGCGGCGACATGTCACCATTATCAAATACAATTAATTAGTATAAATACAATTTGTATTTAAGTCATTTTAAAATGAAATGAATTTTGAAATTGAGAAATAAACACCAAGTTGTGTAACAACAATATGTACTGAAGGGATACTTAACAAATTGTGATGTGTAATATTTCAAAACGTCTTTGGTATCGCTTGCGAAAACATTGGATGTAATTAGTGCAAAGGTAATTGAAAATAGAAATCTTTATTAAACTATTTTTTGTAATTTGTTGTCCTCTTCGACCACGAGCCCTCGTTTTCTATGAGCAAATAGTCAAAGAGGCGTGGCCGAGTTGACTATCGCTCATATAAAACGGGAGAGAATAGTCTAATTGTTTGAGTAGGATTACAGCGCAAAAGCCTTTTTACAATGTTTTGAATTTTTAAGCCGCGCGCGATCGTTGTCCATCAGCGAACAAGAACGCTGAGACTGAACCAATGAGATTCGCGGATTTCATATAGAACACAGCTAAGTGGCTACTGATAACGTTGAAAGGAGGGTAAACGAACGGAAAGCCAGAACTGACTGGGGGCCGGCTTTGATAAAACTACATAAACACGTGACTGCGCAAGGGAGACCAAGCGCTCCGCAATTCCGTCACTCACTTCTTTCACCATGCACCATGTGGCGTGCCCCCGACCGACCCCAGACCTCCTTGAGTCAATCTTCTTTCTCGGCCGTTTGCGCGAGGAAGACTAGGTCAAAGAGGTGTAACGCGAAGGATTGTGGTCATTCGAACTGAAAGTGTGTTTTGTGGTACAGTGCAGGCTGCCCAGGGGAGAAAAATGGCCGCAAAATTTGATAATTTGCAGCTCGCTTTGCTCAAGCAATTCGTGGACTTATGTAAAGAAAAACCGCATCTGCTTCATGCTCCACAACTGAAGTTTTTTAAGGACTGGCTTGTAAGGTAAGCTAGATTTTAGAGCTGTCACGGTAAGCAAACTCCTCAGCTCACGTGCGAAATGTGTACATTTTTAAAACTACGATATTTGTAACATTTACCTTAAATCTCTCTCTGTTGTAAATTTCAGAATCAGATAAATAAATTCTATTGCAGCAGCTTTTTGTATTTTGTGTTTTACCTTGAAGATCATAATCTGGTCACACGATCGACATTTTTAGCTATTTATGAAATGCAATCAAATTTCACTTTTTAGTCCAGAAATACCGAATTTTTCTCTTCACCTCGTGTAGATTGTTTCGTTACAATGCAATGCTTGTTTTGTTTTGTTTGGACGATTTCTTTTGTGGTTTTGCAAAATATTCTTCGATCCTGCTAGTTGTGTCAAGTTTGTTCATGAAAGCTTCCATCAAGTTTCGTTTCCCAGATACGGAAGTAGAACAGAGTAGAAGGAGAGTTCAGTAATATCCCTTTAGTTGTTATGGTCATTAAAATTCCACTGTCTGTTTGTCATATATTTTCTTGGTAAAAAGACATTGTGACTGGGTTATATCTCATGTCTGAGGATGAGGATAGTTTCACAGTTCAGCGCATGTGCAAGCTGTGTTGCGATCATGAACTACTTTTTTTCACTTTCTTACCAAACCATGTGTACATCAGCAATCACAGGCTATAATTTGATCAAGGAGAATGACTGATGGTCAAATTTTACCTATGCATAAAATCCACTCATATCTGATTGGTTCACAAACAATGCATTGAGTGGTGCATGAGAGATCAGTGGAACAAACAGAATTCTTATGTGGTCAAACATGGTCTCTCATGTTTGATATATTACATAATAATCTTTCAATAACTTGGCTTAAAGCATAGGTGCGATGATCCCTCCACCACCAGAGGAACCAAAAGAACCGGAGCCAACTCCAAAACCAGCTGAAGAACCAAAAACAGCTGAAGAACCAAAAACAGAGGAACATAAGGAGCCTACACCTGAACCTACACCCAAACCACCAGAGGTAGGCAGACACTTTTAATGCCACTTTTCTTTTGTAAGAAACATTTAGAGTGGGTGGGGTTTGATCTTCCTACTTTCTGTAATGTGTAGTTCCATAAAATATCCATACCTCGCCCACAGAAGTAATTTTCCCAAGGACCCTCCACTCCTCTGGAAATTTCAATTAAGCTTCATACATTCCTTTCAATTGTTTGGTCTTACAGAACCTCCCAGTCCCCCCAGGAAATACTAATCCCTTCTGTGGAGGGAGTATGGATATTTGCTGGAACTGTACAATCTTTGGGTGTTTTCCATTATGCCAAATATTCCGGAAATTTTGCTCAGAAGTCAAATGGAAAGGTCCATTTGGGTTCCTTCCAACTGGGATATTCGGGGCTCCTCTGGAGGTAGTCTACTTTGACCAGTTGGACTGGTCTGACCGAAATTTGCCCTTCCATTTTGACAAACCAGTTCATTGCCATATTTCTCTTCACTTATGTAGGGGATTCAGAGAAGGAATAAGAAATGGTAAGAGCCGTTCCTCTTGGATGGCCTGGTTTGATTGGAAAATGTAGTTCCCTTTTCCTTGGGTATTCCCACTGGTCTCTGAGCAGTCTATCTGGTGTATAATGGCAAACACCCTTTGTTTCTGCCTGTTTTTTGTCTCCTTTCTCAATGGTTTCTAGTAGATTCTCCTTTGCTGCTGTATAATATATTACACAACTTTTTTTCTTTCTTTCCCATGAATTGATACAGTCATGTAGATTATACACTACCTTCCATTTTATGTACCTATGTTATGCGAACAGTTGAGTGAGTTTAGCAGAACTTGGATTCTCCCAGACTATCTCTCTATACTTTTGTTAGGGTATACTGTTGGTGTCCATGTGTCTCAGGAGACAATTGAACTCTATGCCATGATTTAGTTTGTGGCTGAGTTGCAGCATCTGCTGTTGCTGTACAAGCCAATTATTCTTGATGTACATGCATGTATATGTAAATAAATGCTCATGCATGCTTCTATTACTTAATGTTAAAAATTGTTGAGAATTTCATGATTGTGTGGTTTCCAGCAAGAAACTTATCCCTCTCTCTAATAAGTGCCTCCTTTTGAGTGCCGTTTTTTAATAAGTGCCCCTATTACAACAAGTGCCCTTCTTCTTGGGTTTTTTCAGGAGGCAGCACCAGAGGAGCCTGTGGACAGTGAAAGTGAGGAGAGCGATGTTGGTGAGTACATTACTTTAATTTGTAACATTTGTAGCTGTTTTTTGAAATTCTCGGGTTTAATACTATGTTTAATTTTCTTGAAATCTGAACAGATATTGACCGAGAAGGATGTATTGAACCAGACAATGATGAACCTCAGGAAATGGGAGACTCGAGCATCGAGGTAGGACTTCTCTTTACATGATGAAACTATGAGATGTGGAGGTGAATTAATCAACATGACACGAGCGTGGGGCAAAGAAAAATTCTGAGTCCCCGACGAGAATCAAGCCCATGACCTCCTGAACACCGGTCGGGCGCTCTATCCACTGAGCTACAAGAACTCATGGAGAGCAAGGTCATTTAACTGAGTTCATATATGATAGGCTTCCTGCATACTGCTAGGATCAATGCCTATCAAAGTTATCGTGAGTAGTGATAAATTAATAAAGATGGTGAATTTTAAGCTCGGTAATTAAATGTGAAGGTGAATTAATCAACATGTCACGAGTGTGGGACAAAGAAAAATTCTGAGTCCCCAACAGGAATCGAACCCATGACCTCCCGAACAGCGGGCGGGTGCTCTATCCACTGAGCTAAGAGAACTCATGGAGAGCAAGGTCATTTAACTGAGTTCATATATGGCAGGCGTCCTGCATACTGACCTTGCTCTCCATGAGTTCTCGTAGCTCAGTGGATAGAGTGCCCGCCTGGTGTTCGGGAGGTCATGG